TAAATGAGCATATAATAAAGCTTAATACAATTGGTCTAGTACTGTACACAATCGATTTGGTATAGCTTGGAACAGCTGATCTAGTAATGTACACTGTAGATCTGGTACAGTTTGGTACAGTTAAAATAGTACTACACACAATAGATTTGGTACAATTGGTAACAGCTAGTCTAGTACCGTACACAAAAGATTTGGTATAGTTCGTTACAGCTGGTCTAGTACCCTTGCAAGAATTTATCAATTATGTTTGCACGGTGGATAGATCGTTTCTGTCTGGTACAATCGTCTCTGGAGCACTAGAGTAGTCCTTGAAATGGTCGTTTAAAAATGATGGTATCTCCAAAATATAATATCTACCTGTGTCGGTAATATGATGCATATTAACACATACCTCGTTAATAATATAGCCTGCTTCTTGTTGTCCCATCTTACTTGTTAACCTAACATGTATTGGATCGTTGTCAACTCACGTACGTTGCTAGGCTCAGGATAGATGATATGTGACCTAGAACGTGATTGCTTCACACCATCATCACATTTTATCTTTCCATTTTCATCAGCATTATATTCGTTGCACCCTTAGTGCAACACCTATGATTCCAGCTTAAATCAACAGGAGCATGTTTTCGTAAAAATACAATTTGTAAACTTTATATATTTAAAATGGCATCATAAACTTAACCAGGTGTATTGCGAAATTGGGCTGTGTCAATTTCGAGGTGTGCCATTCATACAATCCAGAAAGCTTCGACATTGTTGGGTGTGATATCTAAATCATTACAAGGGAAAAAATGGAGAGCCCCTATTATGTTTAACTCAAATATTATTGGCTTTCCGTTGAACGATCTCGAAAAAGCCTGTGGTTAAGCACTCTTAAGTACACACACACACACACACACACACACACACATACACACACGCAGAGAGAGAGAGAGAGAGAAAGAGAAAGAAACATTGTGATACGCTGATGGTGTTCCTCTCTTTAAGTATTAAGGAAAACACTATATATATATATATATATATATATATATATATATATATATATATATATATATATATATATATATATATATATATAGTCTATCTTTCTTTTCATATTGTTTTTAATGTATGTATCAATTCATTGCCTATTTTGTGTGCATTTTTATTTTAGCATGCTGGTGAAATATCTATATTTGATGTCCTGCCACATATAAACATAAGTATGCACACCCTGCAAGAAAATAACTCTATGCAACTGTTCTACTGAATCAAGCTGCGTTTTAAATTAGCAATTTTGCACCGTCGTTATTTTTAGTACCACACTTTTAGCATTTTTGTATCATCTCCATTTAAGTTAGAAGTCATATTTCAAACATCATGTTATTGCGAGTTCTATTGTATAAGAGGCTTCTAGTACATTTCCTGGATCAGATCTCTGAAAATCTGGCAGTCGAGAAAGTTGCATTACACTCAGTAGATCTTTTACTTTTTTATGCAGTAGTCAAGTATGTGGCTTCGTGATCTAAACAGAGACGTGTTTTAATAATTCGTTAAAAAAATAACACAATAATATGAATTAATTAGCAACTAATTGCATTTATTTGTTGAGCGTGGGCGATATTTAAACTAAACTTTTGATCTCATTTCCTCATGAATTTCCTACTGATAGGAAGGCTGCCAGGTTGCCATGTTGTTGTCACCCAGAAATCCGTCAGGTACTAGGAGTCCATTAAACTGTAAGGAACATTAAGTAGCAGCGTTTGAAAATTAGAATAGTTGTAGCAATAGTCGTGATAGTAGTAGAAGTAGTAGTAATAGTAGTAGTTGTATTAGTAGTAGTAATAGTAGTAGTAGTAGTAGTAGTAGTAGTAGTAGTAGTTACAGCAGTAGTAGTAGCATTCGTTGTTTTCCTAATGATCTGTGTAACGTAGAAGTGCTGCAATGAATATAAAACAATCATAGTTTATGTTCCTGTTAGTATTTTCACAGGGACTAGAAGATTATAGATATTATCATCTTCTTATCGTTATCAAAAGGATTAAATTTACTCAAGTAATAAAAAAATTTTCCGGGAACAGATACAAATTAATAATGGCTTTTCGTAAAGTTCCGTTTCTGAGTTATCCAATTGGAATTTCTACAGTAAGATTGCCAATTTATTGCCATCATTCAGGTCCAGTATGTATTAGTATCCTTAAACATAGAAATGCATGTTGATTCATAAGTTACAAATAAATACCTGTCTTAACACGTTAACTCTGCTCAAGGGCCAATTGGGTTATCACAAGAAAATTGCATATATGGCAATGGATATATAAAAGTCAGGTGTGGATGAACTTAGAATTATCTTTGTCAATTGTGGTCTAAGATAAACAAGTCAAAACATTTAAAGCAAATTATTTTGGATCAGACCTCTGTTCTTGAATGACATCAATGGCCAGGAAAACGTAGACTAATGGATCTGTGCAATATTTTATCTCGCTCATTTCAGAGATGCGTTTGAGAGAGAGAGAGAGAGAGAGAGAGAGAGAGAGAGAGAGAGAGAGAGAGAGAGAGAGAGAGAGAGAGAGAGAGAGAGAGAGAGAGAGAGAGAGTCCGAGTACGCGCTCGCGTGCGTGCGTGTGTGTGTGTGTGTGTGTGTGTGTGTGTTCATATCAATATATAGTAACAGAAGAATACAGGACACTTAAATCAATCTCAGTACGTATGTGAATTCTATAATAGATTGAGGACAAAGTAAATTTTCCATTACCAGTGCTTTAAATTTACCAGAGATTATCGACCAATTATTCTTCTGATTTTAATGTATTGAATTGTACAGTTATATAAGAAGGTATTTATCTGTAATATAAGAAGGTATTTATCTCTTTTACCGGTGTGTACTTAATTTAAAAGTGCATGTTCTCTTTTGATTTTGCTTATATGTCTCAGCGCAAAATTTATACCAATGAAACCCTATATCATTGTAACGTCAAGAGAATCAAATAAAGTCAGGCTTGCATGGAAATAAATAATAGTAAAGTGAATTTTGATGAATCGATTCAAATCGCGGTACGCACGTTCTGTATAACATAACCACAACGTTTAATTGTAAAGAGATTTTTTAAAAGTTATAATTGTTTGCACATGCAGATCTATTCAAATAAATAAGTCAGATGATCATAAATTATACGCATCAAGGTTTTATCCTTTTCAAATGATACCAACTTGTAAATGATGGATGTTCTGTAAGGAGACCTCCAGTGAAACCAATTTTAAGATCTATATTGTAGCTTTTCAAAGGCGTCATAGCAACAATTATAAACGGACGATGAATATTTGTATGTACCAAAAAAATTCACACAGGGGGAGATTTTATAAACTGCCGCTTTTAGGAGCGAGTACTATGATTTGAAAATCATTGTTTTATGCCTAGAAACGCATCAAGCGTTGAAGTGTAAGTGTGTTTGTGTGTGTGTGTGTGTGTGTGTGTTTTGGGGAAGTTTTTTTTATAGTTTTTCAGCATATCTATTTCAATGACCGGTTGTCCAACTCTCCATATTTGCAATAAATTATCATCACATATTCCCATCCTCAAAGCTCCAGCTCCAGCTCATCATGGGGTTCATGAGAAGGTGGAAATTATAATGGGGACACAGTTTGGCATATGAACTACTTGTGCTCACTTAGCAATAGGCCTGTACCAATTCATAAAATGTTTAGAAACAGGCCCGGCCCTAGGGCAAGGCGTACGAGGCGACCGCCTTGGGCTCCGCGCTTCTCCGCAATGCAACTTTTTGCTTGGAGCCCCGCGCTGATTGCTTGCTGCCTTAAGCCCCACACAACCTAGAGCGGGGCCTGTTTAGAAAATAACATTATGTTACAATCCCCTTCTGTTAGTACCAGGTTTGTCTCTCCCTGCGTTCTGCACTCCAGTGTGGTTATGGGGATCGAAAATTATATTAAAGACATATGTTGGCTACAGTTTTGTTGTTTTTATTACTTGTTTTTCTATAGCAACTTACCAAAATTAATTTATGTTTGAACCATATTATCATCACATTTTAGATCGATTTGTTTCTTCTCCCCACCCCCTCCACAGTACATCTGCGTCATAGCTGAGGTCATGGTATATTGAGCCCTGATAATAATTAAACTCATGATGGGGAGTATATCACATCATCGCATATTTCCCTATCACAAACTTCACAAGTTCCGGTGTATTTCAAAACCGATCACTGCTATTTAAGCATCATTGGATTGGGGACTAAATGCAAGATTTACTTACCTCCGAAATTGAAGACCTTAACTACCTGCCATGCTACGCACCTCCGAAATTGAAGATTTGACAAGGGAAATGTTCCAATTAAGCGTTATTAATTTTATGTTTTGCAAGATTACATGGTAACAAATTTTGTTTACGAAGAATTCTACTTTGTTTAAATAACAATCAATAGATATATTGAAATGACCTCAGCAAGTCATAAAAAAACGAAGGAATGTTAGGAACTATTTTATTCATCTTAACAACACAGAAGTGACTTTCGAGTTGGTCGGCGTAGTGATAATATCCAAAATTCCGGTACATCTTACCCAATTCACTCAATATATCGAATAATGTTATCATCACATTCCCTGCTGGTTTCTGGGTGCGACCATCAGGTCCGCAATTAAAATAGGGATACATTTTGATTACAGCTTTTGGTTGAAAAGAATTTTTTTAAAAATACGTATAGTTTCATACCCAATTCACTTCATGTTTCCAATATATAAAACACTGACCTATGGATTTTACTTTTCCTACCCCTTAATACACCATGTAGGACACTTCGGTTTATTCCATCTCTTATGTTGTAAAGAGCGTGTTCACTATACATTTGGAATATTTTAATATGGCAATTACATCCACCCTTTTCCCTGTACTACCATTGTCCCCTCTTGCTTAATTTTTTTTCTCATATTAAAATAACCCCTATATTCATTTACAACTTGGAATAATATAGCATCCACTAATTACTTCTCCTGTTGCCATTGTAGCCGCTCCAGTGGCCTAGTGGTTAGAGCGTCCGTCTCAAATACGGGAAGTCGTGGGTTCGATCCCCGGTCGAGTCATACCAAAGACTTACATAAATGGTACGAACAGCTGCCTCGCTTAACGATCAGCATTAAGAGGCCAGTGTCAGGACTGGTCGGCCTGGTGTTAGGGTAATGTGACTGGGTGGGGCATCGTGCTACATGTCTGTGACATGATGCCCCAGTGCTAGACATCACTATAAATTGCCACACTGCAGATATCTTAGCGATATGACTGAAAAATTGCTACTAAAGCTACGTTAAAAATCATTATCACCTCACATTACTTTACAATTGTTACCTTGGAGTAAATTCCTTGGGTTGAATCATGGGTACGTAGTAGAATGTATTAGTGCACAAGCATGCTATTGAGTCTTTTTAATCACCTAGTGCAAAGCAGGCAAGTGTACCCCTTTACGTTCCCAGCGAATTAGTTTCAGAAGAACACAACCTGTAATTTTATCTATTTTCTGGAGGGGACAACAGTTATTAAATGGTGAGTCCAAACTAAAGCATAACTATGAAATTTGTGCATTGATGTAATATGAGTTTATAAATAGAACGCTGATGAACCTGCCGACCAATCAACAATTCAACCAATTCAGCCTCATTTTGAGTGTTAAAATCGATTGTACCACTACCACAACAATGTAAATTGGGACGAGGATGGGATTATGGGCAGGGTGTAAAATGCTACCTAGAGAAGACAAAATACTTTGAAAATTGCATGAGATAATATTTTCTATAATTTTGTCCTATGTTTTGTCATGGGAGGAGTCAGAAAAAATACGTTAGAGGAAAGAGTATGGAGGTCTTTAATTTAACAGATTGAGCACAAGTTTGATGATTTTACAAACTAGAAACCGGTATTTGTTACGATATCGGCCATAAACAGACTGGTTCTTTTACCCTATTTAGTGTTGATTTACAATCTATTTCAGACAAAAAGTGGCCAGTCAACGTTTGGATATCCTAATGGTGGCGCTCTACAGTTTCGTATTTAGCATAGGGTTAAAATTTTAAAGAAAAAGAGTTTCCCCGGGTTGCCTCACTAGTTATACTGGTTATTTAAAAGAGACTTTGTATATCTTAGGTGTTGTTCAAAGAACCTTTAATTCCCTTTATTTTGATGTATGATTGATGGGTGTAATATGGGTTAGAGAATATACAGCTTGGCCTTACTCCAGATGTGCATGTTTCAAAAACGTGCTAGCTCTACTTGCTCATTTTCACTTCTCGAACTTCAGAGGTAAATTGTAAAAAAAAGAGCCGATAACTTTTTTTACATTTTATGTATTTGGTAATTCAGTCATTGCACTTTTAGAAGCTGGAATTATCTAGTTTGGCAAAATTCATTTTCCATATTTTACTAGCTGCCAAGAATAGTGTACTTTAGACAAATTTAGGTTGATTTTTGGAGCACAAGGGAGCAGTCATTTTAGTTAGCAGTGTCCCAAGATCATTTAAATTTCCAAAAGTACAATATCCAAAGAAATTTCATCCACATTACATGAAAGTAGTATATAGGTATGCCAACATTCTTTGCACTGTGCATGTTTAAAATGCAAACAACTTCACCTTACATACATCACTCTCTCAAAAGTACATAATAACTGGTGAGCGCCACCAATGCGCCGAAACGATGAACGAAGGTTTAGATGACCCAGAGGTCAAAACAGCCTTGCGGTAACGATATGATCTGAAAGAATATGAACTTTAAGGAACTTAACATTTTGCATCTCGCGCCTAATATCAACGGTTGTTTACTTCTGATGATGCGTCACAGCTGATACGAGTTTTTGCATTCCATATAAAGCTTTTTTTAAAAAAATAGAAAATAGCATTCCTAAAATACCCTGTATTCATAGATCCGAACACCCTAGCAATTAACAAGAAGAGTGCTCTCTCTTGCATAGTTACGACAGCTTCTGCCTCCCTGTAGGTGAAACATTGACAGGCCATAGTACACAATTAATTTCACTATATTGCCTCTACATTTATTTCTCAATACTGAACTCTCCACTGTGTGACAATCAATACAAATCATATGTTAATCTAAAATACCTTCAAAGATGACTTTACGGTTTAGTTCTTGTCAAGGGTTGACCTGCATTTTTTTTGAGAGGCTGAATTGTAAACAAAACACCAGGCAACGGAACACAGATTTCACTTCCGGATCATCACCATGACCTTATTACTCAATGTGCACTGTCGCCGAAATACACACAGACAACCACACCATAAGCTCACATTTTAAAGAAAAAACAATTGCCTTTAAATCCTTACCAAGAATGCCAAAATCTAACTCTAGTATCACCACCAAATTTAGACAGGAAAAAGTGATCTAAAAATAGACTGGGACTACATTCGTTGGTACTGAACCGGATTTTATTAATTGTGTACTGATTCCTGAAAGGGTCAATGTTTTTGTCAAACTTTTATATTTGCATTTTTTGCATGCCACTACTGTTTCAACTTCATACATAAAGTCTTTTGAAATTTCCTTGCAAGCAAGACATGTGACAGCTGTCAGAAAGTGTGTAGTGCTGGTGTTCTATAGGGTGCAATTTGAGGTCCAATTGTTCTTAAGAAACTAAAACTAAATTTGCTATATCTTCCTTAATTATAGGAATTTTTCAATGCAGTAAAAACCTAATTGTAATATTTAATAAGGCCTGTCTGAAAATAATCTTGAAATTAAAAAATATTGATATATTAAATTTTAATGGAAATTTAAATAAATATATAAATTTTAAAAACTATTTATTTTACAAAAATCAAATTTTCATTAAAATTTATGACATTCAGTTTGACAAATTTAAGGCAGCAAAGTTGATTAATGAATGGTGTTTAAAACAAATGGTAGTTTAGGTCTGTACAACTGATAATATTAATCCCAGGGGTACTGAAGCATGATACCTCACAGTGATTTTGACAGCAAATTGCAATATGCCTATCCAGATGCATATAGGTGTACATACTAAAGAAACAATGACAGGTACTATGTTCCACATTTATTGTTTTAGGTACTTGGGCCGTTGTTTGTATAACTAATAGCCCACTCAAATTTAAAGTTTTGATGGAACCACTACCATGTTTTATAGCAAATATGCATTACATTTTAATGCCGATAACTACAAAAGTCAACAATGCAATATGAAAATACAGTTTCAGGGAAGTTCCACCTAACTGAAAAATGATGTGAATCTCTCTTATGAAGATCTAAGCCATGTCTTTGAGATGCTGTATATCAGTGTACTGATATGAACTCATCTTAGTCACTTATAGCAGCACACTGCACATGTCCTTATGAGACCTTGCAATCACCAATGGACTACTGGAGAGCTTCCAAATTGATCCAACTCTAATACTTTGTTCCAGATACCAGGCTAGACCTGAAAAGATATAACATGTTTCACTTAATTCTAAAAAAACAGAAAGATGTAGGCAAATGAAGTCAAAATGTGTTAATTATGGTGATTTCAAAATAACATTCAGGTTGCAAATATGGTTAAAAAAAGGTAAACTTGATAGAGTGACACTCAAAGATGTGAAGCAATGGGCATGTATTAAAGTGACAAATGCATCCTAAAAATAGATGAAGATTCTACAAGCATATTTAGCCATTTACAGGTCAAATAACTAATCAGGTAGAGTATGTATCATAAAGTTTAAGGCAATGTTGGAACGGTGAGGTTTGATCATTGGTGCAAACATTGATACATACCAGTATAGTGGAAAGTCAAATAACAATGTACCAAATTAAAATTTATTACTATATGCAATCCTATTCGTGAAGGAAAAACAATTTTAGATATTGCTAGTGAATATAGCAAACTGTGGCCACACAGATCAACTATAGGTACCAATAGATCCTATATCATCAACTAAATGTGAAATTTTCATCCCGAAAACTTGTAAACAAGGATGGATATTTGCATGTGTGGGACATATGCAATGTACTTGTTAAAATCACATGTGCAGACATGATTCATATAATTTATTTGAACAATTTTAGTCTATTTTTAAGTGTCTTGGCTACCAAGTTTTTAAGTTCAATGAGTCAATGATTCAATGATATCAGATATCAACTGATGTTGCAATGCCGCCCTCTTTTAAAGTACTAAATTGAAATGTGTTACCATACAGAGGCATATTCATGATGAAAATAACATCTTGGGATATTATAAGGGCACACAGTCAAAACTAAGCTTTACAGATTCACTATAGGTACTAAGTTAGCCAAACAATGTCAACTTTTGATTCCAAACATTACAAAATATATGCATATTTGTTCATGTCAGCTATGTAACCATGTTAGGATCAGTTGTAGAAAGTTAAATTCAATTAATCTGTTTGAATATTAATCATGTAATTTTTAAAGTGTCAGATAACAAATATTATTAGTCATTAATAATGCATAAAGCAAAATGGATCATGAGAATTCTCATAATATCATCTGGGCTACAATGTCGCACTACATCAATCAACATCTTAAAGAAACTGAACAATAAAATGGAATGCATTCTATGTTCAACTTACATCATTTTGCTGTTTTCTTACATGCAATGGTAAATATACCTGGGTAAAGTATATTTTACCCCTCTGACCTGTATTTCATTCTCTGACAGCTTAATATGATTTTGTAGAGAACTTGAACAGTTCTAATATAAAGTCTTCATCTCTGTCCTCTCACTAAATACCCTATAACTATGTTTATAAACAATTACTGATAGCTATACAAGCAGATATGTATTACTCAGGAAGTCACCCCATCATAAACACACAAATTAACTGTTTGGACCCCAAATAAATAGTTTCAATGACCTAAAGGTGCAAAGCAAAATAGAATTTTGTCTTCATGTATATTAAATATGGGTCTCATTTTGACTAATAAAGATATTTTCTCTAATCAAATTTGACAAATATCCATCATTTAAGCTTGTATATGTTGTAGGAGTACATATATATATATATATATATATATATATATATATATATATATATATATATATATATATATATATATATATATATAT